GGAGGGGCCAGGCAGGAGGCGTGAGCCGTGGCTCTGGTGCTTGTTAGCTGATGCTCCCCCCCTTCAGGCTTTTACACGAGATGCTCCCCAGCTTGGTCAGGAAGTTTCTCTCCTTCCATTGAGCGATGCAGTCCTCAGAGATGCGGAAATCAGCCTGGGGAGCAGAGCAGGGGAATTGGGTCAGGCCTGGGATGCACGCAGGCTGGGGCCATCTTGGGTGCTGCCTGAAGGTTCACTGACCATGACACGGCAGCAAGCACACAGCCTCAAGTCACCCAGTGATGGGAACAGTGGCATCCACATGGCCGTCAGCACTGCCCTTCTCAGTGCCTGAAGCCCCAGCCCTCAGCTCGACTGCTCTGTGCCCTCACCTGTAGCTTCTCAAACACCTTCTTCTTTGGCTTGAGCTCGTCATCAGGTTCCCCGTCCTCATAACCCTCCACGTAGACTCGCTCCCCAGCGCAGCACCCAGCAGGTGGGTCCAGGGGCTCCACCTGCCGTGGCTCTCCCACACTGCAGAGGAGTACACAGGACGCAGAGTCACCCCCAGGCAGCGCCCACTTTGGCACCGCCGGGCTCTGAGGATCCAGACTGCACCCCTGGAGGGGCCTGCCCTGATTCCCCTCTCACCTGGAGGCACACAGCACCATGCCCTGGGACTCCACGCCTCTCATCTTCTGGGGCTTGAGGTTACAGAGCAGCACCACGAGCCTGTCCTGCAGCTGCTCCCTAGGGACAAACTGCACCAGGCCGCTGACCACAGTGCGGGGCTCGGGCTCACCCACATCGATCTTCTCCACATACAGGCTGTCAGCATCTGGGTGCTGACAAGTAAAAGCAAGGTAAGGAGCAGAGAAGGGGACTGGGGTGACAAAAAAAAAAAAAAAGGGGCAGACTCCTCCCCTCACCTTTCCCCATACACTGAGTGCCCTTCTCACCCTGTGGGAAGGTTACTCCCCTCTTCCCATAGCTCCCGTACCTTTTCCACACTGATCACTTTGCCAACACGGATGTCCAGCCGAGACGGGACAACAGTCTCCGGCTCTGAGTTCTTGGTGCCTTTCTCTGCAGGCTCTACAGTGCAAAGGAAACAGTTGCACCATTCACCTTGAATGCTGGGAGCTGGCCAAGCCCTGGGGAGCACACAATGACCCCCACTTGCTGGACTTGGAGGCTCCTGAATTCCCTGTTTGTCTGCACACACCACAGCAGCCCCTCCTCTGCTTCGCTGGCCTCTCAGAGATGCCTTCTGCCCTCTCTCACTGGGGCCCTGGCCTCTCCTCACCCTGCAGATGCTCTCCAAGAATGGCCCTGGAGAGACTCCCTCCTACCCAGCCCCGCACGGCCAGAGCCCCATTTTTCCCAGCAGCTCCTTACTTGCTTTGGATGGGTTGGGATATGCTGCGCTGGTCAACTTCTTCAGCTCCGGGCTGTTGAATTTCTCTCTGATGGGGTCAAGCAGTTTATTCAGGGCCACTTCCACAGAGTTCTTCAGGTCTCCAGGATGCACAACCTGTATCGTGACAAGCAGACAGGGCCCTGCGTCTCTCCCCCAGCGTGGATTTCCAACTGCCAGTGCTGCTCTGTGCCCACAGTGCTCGTGGGAGCCTCAGGGACAAGGAAGGCGTTCAGTCCCTCGCTGTGCTCACCTGCTCAGCAAAGTCCTTCTCCAGAGCTTCATAGGCTGTGTATGTTTTGTTTCCTCCCCATTTTTCTTCTCGCAGAATCACAAACTCTGTTAGACACAGATTAAGGCTCAAATTAAGCCCATGGGAGGCTCCCCCTGCTCAGCCAGATATACCACCCCACTGTGGCCAAGAGTGAAGGGAGCTGCAGCAGAGCTGGAAAGAGGGTGTGCAGGGTGCAGTCAGTGTTAGGGATTGTATATTCCTGCCCCTTCCTTTTGCCCACAGGAAAAAGTGACCCCAACACCCGGTCGTGGGGAGCCCTTCACCTGACTTGAGGGGAAAGAGGACGTGCTTAATGAAGGAGAGGACACCATTGTTCTCCACATTCCCTGGCTCACAGAAAGCCTTCTTCAGCTTCTTCTTCACATCTTCTTTGCGGTCCAGAAGGTCAATTTTTGAGTCCTGGAGGAAGAAATTTCCATAGCCCTTTTCTGGCCCAAAAGAAATAACTCATGCAGGTGTTGCTGCACCTTTTTCTTAGACCTCAGCATGAAGTGAGAAATTTCCATCTCTCAGGGTGCAGCCTCTCCATCCCCAGCCATGAGCCCATGCCCCTGCAAAGCCCCAACCACCACTCAAGAACCAACCTCTTCTGATGAGCTCATTTTGCTGCCTGTCAGACCGGGAACCATTGGATTCATCAAATGGATGCGCTTGGCATAGCCCAGGGAAGGGAGGTACTGGGAAAATGCAAGGAAGTAAGTCATGGACAATGCTACTCTACAAGTCAGCTTTAACCCATGCTCCGTGTTTGCTCCTGGCTCTGCATAACCTTGAGCACAGCAATGAGACCCAGAAAGCTATCATGGGTTCACATGGTCCTGACAGCCCGGAACATGTGGCAGCCCTGCCTGCCACACCAGAGCCCCGTGGGCCACAAGAGCAGCAGCAGGAACTGCTAAGAGCACTGTGACTCTAACTGAAATCACAGTCATGTTTCTCCCAGTGGATTAGAGAGACTCTGAGTCCCACGCCAGAATCACAAGGGACCCAAACACCCCCATTCCTAACCTTCTCTGCAAAGGTGAATATCTTCCTTTGATCAACTCCACCAAACTGAGCATCGACCTTGAGGTATTCCTCATCCAGGGCCTGAGGAAAGACACAAACAGCCTTGAGCTTGGCTCTGGGACTCCATGTTCCAGCTCACTCAGCCTTTGGAGGCCCTGCCTGCACTCTGGGATCTGCCAGGCACAGTCCTGGCTTTGCCCAGCACCTCCTCAGCATATGCACTCTGCCAGGCAACCTCAACACCCACCTGCAGGCCTGGGTAGAGCAAGCCACTCAGCAAAGGGTGCTCCACCTGCTTCACCACCTCTGCTCCTGCCTTCTTCGCATCGTGCTGTGTCACCACAGACGACAGACGGTACACATCCAACGTGTACTCCCTATGGGAAGGAACAGCACAGTCAGCACCAGGCAGAGGCACAGCTGCAAAAGCTGCTTCGCATAAATATTGGTGCTGGCCACTGAGAGCAGCCTGGAGACACCTTCACTTTATTCCCTGAATGACAGTGCCTGGCAGCAGGCTTGGGAATGACAGCAGAGCCCCAAACCAGCTTCTCCTGTGCACAGAGGACCAGCAGCTCAGAACTCACTTGCTGAGCTGGTAGTCCGTGCCTCGGACAAACTTCAGCTTTTCCAGGGGCACCCCAATGCTCTCCAGCATGGCTTTGATCACATTCTCATAATAGCGAGTGCGCAACTCCAGCAGCTCCCAGGGGGCCTTCATGTTGTCTAGGTAAGCGTGGAGGTCAGCAAAGAGGATTGTCACCTGGTAAGGAGGGGACAGAGTCAGCACCGCCTGTCAGAAGATGCACAGCGCAGGGGGAACCCTGCCGGCCGGCCTCGCACCTCACAGCCAGCCTTCAGGAAGTCTGCGATCTTGGACATGGGCACGAAGTAGGCAACGTGCGGCTTGCCCGTGGTGGCGGTGCCCCAGTAGATCTTCACCTCCCGCTCCTTCAGGATGCCCATCAGCTTATCCTCGCCCAGTACCTCCTGCGAGAGAAACCCGAGAGCGGCCGGGCTGGGGCGGGCATCGAGCCCCGAAACGAGGCCCGGCGCCGAGGCCCGGTCCGCGGGCTGAGCGCGGCGCTCCTATCGCCGTGCCCGGGGCCCGGCCCATCCCCTCAGCACGGGGCCCCGGCCCGGCCCGCCCCCGGTACCTGCAGGTTGCGGGTGATGAGCTGGTACTTCTCCTGCGGGCCGGACGCGGTCTCCATGGCGGAAGGAAAGGACGCGTCAGCGCTGCGCACAGCCCGGACCACCCGCCGCACCTCGCCCACCGCGCGCGGGTTGCATCAGCCCCGCTCGGCGCTGCCGGCGTCTCTCTGACGTCACTTCCGCCCTCGGAGAGCCGGGACGCGCTCCGCCAATCCGGAGACGGCGGGGCCGCGCTCCGCCAATCGGGAGGGGGCGGGGCGGGTCCGGCTGCACGTGCCGCTAAGATGGCGGCGGGTGGGGGTGTGGGGCGGGTGGAGCCGTTAATCCGTTACGGAACGTTTCCCTGGTGCGGACGCGGCCCTGCGGGGTTGGGGTACGGCAGTGAAGGAAGCGCCTCCCGTCCTGACAAACAGACGTTGGTTCTTTGAGTCCTTTCTGGTCGGGAGCTCCGCCGTCGCCCCCTCTGCGCTCGCTCCGGTTCTGCCGTGCCGCCTGAGGGCGCTCTGTGCTGCTGCGCGCGTTGCGCTGCTCGGGGCTGCCCGGCCTCAGCTGGTTCCATTCACGTGCAGTCGCTCTGGATGCAGCGATTCCTCTTGTTTGGACGGGCTGATGAGGGGGAGCGGCAAAACTGATGGCTCTTATTTCTGGAGTAGGTGATTTCCTCTTCAGAATGCAATAATAAATAAAAGCAAAGGAAAGACAACAGGTGTCCCCTTCAATCTGATGGTTGCGGAGGACAGGAAATGCCTTCCCCGAGCCCAGCTTTTCCTGCTGTGAGATTCCCCCCTGCACGGGGCTCCCAGTGCCCGAGCTTTGCGTCTCCGTTCACTTTCTCGGGAAGGACAACAGGTCTTGTTTGTGGATGTTCTTAAGCTATTGAATTTTACAGGAAGGTTTTTATCTTCTGATCTCTCCTTACAGGGCTCGTTTTGTGTGAGCGCTGAGTGACTCGTGCACAACAGTTCTTCCACTGCTTGAGTTTTTCCTAGGCTGGAGAAGGCTGTTGGTTACTGAGAGCAGAGGTGAGGGATGAGGAGCGGTTAGGGCCCGTGAGACTGGATTGCTGAAGGAGTGCTGGGCACTTTAAATGTCAGCTGGTGAGGGTTGTAATTAATGAATATTGGCTTTAGGTGTGAGTATGGCTGATTTACAGCAGGTTTGCAGGGGGTGGTACAGGTTGTAATGATTGGGGCTTTCATTGGTCTTGCTGGTGAAGCCACAGGGTGTGTGAGAGAATGTAGGATGAGGACTGGTTGTTGATGTGTGCTGTTAAGAGCCAAAATGCTCAAGAGCAGAGGTAATGGGGACCTGATGGCTAGAGCAGTAAATCATTGACTAAGGAAACAGGTAAGTGTTTATTAGTTAATTCTTCTTGTATGAGAACGGCTTATATTCATTTGAACAGGTACTAAAGGTGGATATTAAGCCAAGTTCTTAGACTTATGGAACAGCTGTGGCTGTTCAGCCAGCAGTACCTTTCAGGATCTGAGCTTGTGAATTTAGAGGCAGGCTGGTGTCAGAGATGCTGAAGTCTGCAGAATTGCTGGGCGTTCTGTGTCAGTGTGAGTCTCACCTTGTCTCCCTGTGTCTCAGCTAGTAACAGTGCCTTCCCAGTTACACTGCACCAGAAGTCTATTGGGTTCCCCAGGGCAGCTTCAGGTCTAAGAGTCGGTTAATAAAGCTGTACTGAATTGCTGGTAGCACAGGAGCTGCACACTCATGCTGTCTTCTGGGACTAAAAACTGAGAGCTTTCCAAAGCAGTAAAGTGCTTGATATTTTATCCCGTAAGACACTGTGAGAGGTAGAAAACACGAGGGCTGGCCCAAATGAGAGGGAAGGAGGATGGGAGTCCTGGGCAGGGCCGAACTGGAGCTGCAGGGCGGCTCCCGGCAGATGGCAGCAGCCGAGCAGCGCCGGGTTCCGGCGGTTCTCCGCTCCCTGCGCTCACTGCAGCCGTGCTCTGAGCGCTGCCGCTCCTTCTGTGGCGTTGGGCATCACGGTAACATCTGCTCCTCAGGAAGCTCTGCCTGTTTCTGGCGTGTTAACGGCGGCTGTGACTTGCTGGTTCCCTTGGTTGACGTTCTCTCCTCTACTTTCCTCTGTGTGTTATCTTTGCAGCTCTATTTCAAGAACTGTTCTTATTTTTGTGACTCTGAAACAATACAATGAAAAATTAATGTCTGGCACTTTGCAGCCGCCTTCTGCATCCTGGTTTGCCAGGCATGCCCCCAGAACGACTGCCATCTGTTATTCTAAAGACAGAAGTGGCAGACGTGCCACAGAAGGGAGCTAAAGAAGCATCCCCAATGGGTGCACGCCCAGAAGGGAGGATCTGCAGATCCTACAGAACTGAAGTGTTGGGATAGTGATCTACTGCTAACACCCTCTACACTTTGCCACTCTCAGAGCTGTCAGCAGCAGAGGCTAAAATGAAAGTGCTTGGGAAGAGCAGGGATGCATATCTGCTGGAGAGCAGTGACAGGATGGCAAGGAGTGTTCTGGTAGCTTACAGAGATGGCCGCCCACTGTGTTCATTTCAGCTGCTCATGAGTGCAACAGTCGTTGTTTCCCGAGAGTTACAAGGAGCTGGCAGTTCTGTGGTTCGTTGTGTGGAGGCTGCACTCCTGCGTAGCCACAGGGCTGCTTTCCAGCGTGTGGACACAGCATCAGAAATGCAGAGGGGATTGTGAGGGGAGCTGAAATAGCCTGTTTTCCTTTTAAATTAAAAATACAAGACGTATGTTCTGAGTCACAGAAAATCAGGCAGAAGCTCCGAGTGAACAAAGCTGGTGAGCGAAACAGAGAGCTGTTTTGCTGGGGAAGAACGTGGTGTGTGATCACACGGTTTGGTTTTCCTATCTGTGCAAGGCTCTTGTGTTCCGAGTGGCTGCAGGCCCAGAATTCATCCTGATGCAGTGTGGGCTCCCCAGTTGTCTCAGAGAAACCTGAGTGAGCTGTCCTTGGCCCCGTGTGCTCCTGTGCATCTGGGCCTGCGCCCTTTTGCCTGCATCGTTTGCAGGGCAGATGCAGAATGATCCCAGTGAGCTGTGCTGACCCCTGTTCTGGTTGCTCTCCCTCCTGTTCTAGTTTCTACAGGGTATTAAATTGGAATGGATAAATTTATTTGTGGCTCCCCAAAGGAATCTGAATGCTGCTGAGGCTGCGTTGTAGCAGATGTAGAAATGAGATGCGATTTGAGCATCTGCTTGGAAATGGGTGGCTGAAACTGATAATTGACCACCAAAGATGCCTGCCAGCTGACCGTTTGTTAGCGTTCACACTTCATTATGGCCCTTCATTCAACAGTAAATAGAATCATATCCTTCTTGATGAGATCCTCCTCAGCAATTCTGCTTGTTCTGTATCAGTCTGCAGTCAGGAGCACTGAGGCTGCTTTTGTAACTGTGGCACCTGGCACTGAATGTGAGCACTCTGCTGCTCGTGTCCTCAACAGCCCATGGGCTGGATGGGCCTATTTTTGGAAGGGCAGGGGAAGGACAAACTGACAGCATCCCTCTCTGAATGTAGACTACTCCCATTTTCCACCCAAACATCGGTGTTTTGGGAGAATTGCTTTCACAGCCATTCCCACTGCAGTTGTGCTCATGGACGGAGCTGCACCACCTGCTGCTCTGCGCCTCTGCCTTCAGAGCCATGCGTGGTGCCTGCGGGCTGTGCTGGCTCTGTCTGACCTCCAGGTCTGATGGAGATTTGTAACGCTTCCCAATTTTATCAGACTTCTTGCAATCTGGGATAGACCTGATTCGTGATTTTCTTGAGTCAAAGAGAGAAGAGGAAGAAATACGTTATGAACAGTCACAGATGTCTGTGACCATCTGTCCTATTGTAACCACAGAGGTCAAATACCTTTAGAAAACAAAATGCTTCAAGTTTAAAGTGACAGGAGGGGGACAGAGGAGGAAGTGACAGAGGAGGGGGACCTGAGGTGGAAGTGAGATGGTCACAAAGAACTGGCAGGGAGGATCCAGCCTGCGTTCCTTTTTCAGGAGTGGAACCACTGGCTGCGTTCTGACCTCATTGATCTGTTGTGTAAGGATAATGATGGACATAAGGTCAGGACATGGAAGCTTGATGAGCAGACTGTTCCAGCAGTTCTCTGCTCCTGGGAGGTCTTGGGCAGCATTGATCTGACAAGCCTTATGTGCAGTCTTTTATTGTCCCTGCTCTTGGTAGGAAACAAAGCGAGATTTGTTCTTCCCCTGCTGCCCTGCAGCTCTGACCCACATGGTACAGACACACAGTGGTACAGAAACGCAGCAGCTGCACCTGATGGCAGCACTCAGCTCCTCCAAGTCTGTGCCCTTCTGGCTGCGACTCAGAACAGAAAGCAAAAGGCACCTCTGTGCAAGAAGGAGAAGGACCTGCAAGGAGCAGGCGCTGTGTGACACTGCGTTTGCCTTCTGACAGCTGTCTCTGTAGCCTCATTTCTTCCTAAACAATGCATCCAGAAAAGGTGGATTTTCAAGAACACGTCGGAAACTTTCTCTACAAGTTTTTGTTCCCTTGGGCAAATGAAAGCCGATAGTGCAGCTTATGAAGGAGCCCTGGATTTGCTCTCGGAACACTCTGTTTCCTGGGAAGGAAGGTGTGTTACGTGGCCCTGTGACTCTCATCCATCACATGACTGCAGTGCAGCGTGGAGAGACCTTTGAGTCTCGGTGGGACGAAGGCGCTCTGTGCTCTGCATGGAGAGCACCTTGAATGGCTTCAGCAAGGGCAGCGCTGGGATTTGCCTCTCCCTGTCGCTGTTGATGTTTGGTGCTCTGTGACCCCATCCCAGCAGGGCCTGTGGGGAGCAGTGTGATCCAGGCACGACATGGCTCTTCTCAGCTGTGACACCCAGCGATGTAGGCAGGTCTCTCACCCCAGTTGTTGGCATGAACCGCTCGCTGTGCTGCTCTGGGAGCTGGCTGCTCGCTGGCTGTTCGTGCTGAGCAGCTGCTGCAGAAACGCACTGCTGTGCCTGGATGAGAAGGAAGGAGCAGGGTGGCTGCACAGCAGCCCTTCCCTCGCCATGCAGCAGTGCCTGCAGGGCTCGTCCCCGCCACAGCTGCTGGTGTCACGTAGTGCTGGGCTGGGGGGCTGTGCTGCAGCCATGGAGCGGTGGATGGTGGTCTGAGTGACACAACGGAGGGCTGATGTGCTGGGGCTGGAGGTGATGTGTTGGGGGTCCTGCTGCTGGGCATCCAGGGGCTCTGCGCCTCCTGGTTTGATTTTTAGCTATCTCTTTGAGGCTGTGAAGAAGCAACGCGCAGCAGTCAATGATGTTGATGTAAGCCTTCTGTTAAAGCAGTTCTGCCTCCAGTTCAGCCATGCTGAGTTAATGGCGTTGCTCAGTGCTGCGTCTGGACAGTGGGACGATGTGTCTGTGTGCTCTGCCTGAGGTCTGCATCCCTGTGCCATGGCTCGGCCAGCAGCAGTCCTCCTGATTGCTTTTTGTCCTTTGTGACTGTGGATTTCGTGCGAAGGAGCGCTGCCATGAAGCAGCTCTGTAGAGGGTTCAGGTTTGTGAGAGGCTTTGTTGTGGAAGATTTCATTCTTTGATGCTGCAGCTGTGATTCGTATAAACTGCAGATGCTGTAGAGGGAGCAGTATTGCACATGAAGTGTTCACAGGGGGCGCGCTGAGCGTTTGCAGCCGGGGTACAACTGAGAACTCTGCTTATGGTCTTTGCAGGAGTGGAACCCAGCAGTGTGAGCCTGGAGGAGGCAGGTTTGTGCAAGCTGGATGTAAGCACTGTGATAAATGTCTGACAATTAAAAACTTAATATCATTCGCTAATGTACTGCGCTCCAACAGCAGCTGGAGAACTCCTCTGCAGAAGAGGCCTGGCTGGTGCAGATAAGTCGCATTCGGCAGTTGGTGGCACTGAATGTGGATTTCTCAGGTAAAAAGGACAGCAGTGTGCTGGGAAGTGCCCAGTGGCACCGTGGGGCTGTGCTGCTATGGCCACCTGGTGACTCCATGCCCACTGTGTGCAGGTTGGAAGAAAAAAGGCAGCTTTCCTGGCTGCCAGCTTTGCTGGCTCCATCTGGGATCTCAGATCCATGCTGCGTCTTTCCTGACTCTGCTGCTAATAATAAAGGCTCTTCGTTTGGAAAGGAGTTACACAAAATTGGTGCTGATGCATGAGCTGGAAGAGAACCCAGCTCGCTTTCCCTGAGACGTGTGGGCTGTGAGTGCTAAGTGGGAACAGCACTGCCTTAATCTGCAGGGTCATCAGAGGGCTGAATCTGTGCAGATTTGTGGAGGAAACAGAAGATATTGTGGTGCAACAAGCAAGCTGATCACACTGCTGCTTCAAGAACTGGGTTTGGTCAGGTTGTGCTGAGCTTTGTTCTGTGCAGTTAGGAGATTTTTCTGCAAATCTGGGGAAATTACATTTGGTGCAACATATGGCATGAACTCCATCCTTGCTGGAGGGGCTGCCTGACTGCCCCATGAGTTGCTGTTTGTATCAGCACGATGTGTGTGGTGTGGTGTTGTGATGTAACCTTGAATGTCTTTGGCAAAAAGGGGCATTAGCAATCTGTTCCTCTCTGCTTACATCTCCTCCAGAAAGTTGCTGCCACTGTGCCATGGGAGCTTCCTTCTGTGGCGCAGTGAAGGGTTGGTGAAGAAGATGCTGATGCTGCCGTTGGATGGGAGCAGAGCCGGCGTTGTGCTCTGAGCAGCGTTTGCTCCACAGCATGGCTCACTGCTACCAAACTCACGGGGGAGGAATGCAGGGCTGAGCTGTGCTTGTGGGCACCGTATTGCAGTGCTTGGATTCAAATAGTGCTCAGCTTCAAGCAGGCACTGCGTGTGCTGGCAAAGCATTCTGTTTTCAGCTCTTGCTCTTCACTGTGCCCGTGGGCTCTGCTCGCTTGTTTCCTGGGATGAGCAGCCTGCAGCAGGGCTGCTTCAATGAGAAATGCCTCCCTGCAGGGCTCCCTGGGATCCCCCCTGCCCTCCCACTCCCCGTTAGCATTCACTGAAGCCTCCCTTCTCCAGCCCTGCTTCCAACCCAGCCTCAACCTGCAGTCAGGGGAACACGCGTAGGGAAGTGTGGGTCACCTTTAGGGTGAGCGCTTCTGTCATTTCTTTCCTCTTTCATCCCCTCCCTTTTTTGGCTGTAAAGCACCCCTGTGTCACACAGGGATTTTTTTTGGGCACTGCTGATGAGAACGAGGTGAGTTTCCTGACACCAACTTAGGATTGAAGTCGTGCAGCCCAGAGCCCTCGTGGTGTCTGACACCGATGGGTTACGGTGGGAAACAGCAGTGAAGACTTTGATGTTCGTGAATCTCAGAAAACAGGATTTCCTTTTCCTTAATGTGGGAAACCCCTTTTCCTAAGGTGGTTCCTAAAATGTGGACTTCCTACATTGCTTTCATTCAGAGCTGTTGAAAATCTTTAAGAGAATCATTAGGAGGTAATGGTGCAGTCCCTCTCTGATGAGCTGAGCTGCTGCCAGCCCCTTCTGTCTCCTCTCATTAATGGCATTATTACTTTACCTTTAAAGCCTGCAGTTATGAAACATAGCCATAACCCTTTTGCCTCCTGCCTCGCCATGCAGCCAATTCTGAATTCTGAGCGAGCGGTTATGCTTTAAATTTTAATTCCCCATTTCCACCAAAAGAGGAGCGAGCGCATCTCTGTTAGGAGAGACGTGGCTTAAACCTGGAAGTGGGAGCAGCAGCAGAGAAAGGGATTCGGGCTGAATTACCAGGGACAGCCGCCTTTGTAAACAGCACATGATCTGCCTCCCCCAAAGCCGCCAAATTAGCAGGCTGATTTCCTCACTTGCAGCCCTTTGTGGGCTGCCTGCTTGGCTGTCTGCTCCAGGATTACAAGGAGCATCTCCCTTATCGTTCTGCACATGCTGCACCATCTGTCCTAAATCTCCCTTTATAGGGTTATGGATTCCAAGCGGTGTTTCTTTCTTGGGGGATAACAGGCACGTCTGAAGGATCTCACCAGCTATGGCTGCAGTGCTATTTATGCCTCCAGCCCTTATATTTTTTTCTGCCCTCATCCCACAGAGCTCAGAGCCATTCTGGCGTCCCACACCCAGGAAACCCGCGGTTACTGCGCCGTGTGAAGTCCCCGTGTTCTGCCCTGAGTTCTGCTTGAAGTGGACAAATGCAGGGGGTTACGACTTGGAACAAGACACACCTTTCATCTTTTATTGTACGTTATAAAATGTTTATTGCTCTGTCTGTGTCAGAGGTGTTGACCTCTCCCTCTGGGTGATGGAGGAGTGCGTTCTGGCAAAGGATCCGTGGAAGAGACCACGGGTTGACCTGCAGCTGGCTCAGGGAAGCCCTTCTGGTCCACAGAGCCGGGCGGATTCCTGCCGTCCCCCCCTGCGGTCGGTGCTGCGGAGGCGGAGCGGCGCCGGCCGGGTTCCGTGCGGGGACTCGAACTCAGGCGCGGTGTAAAGAGATTCACGTCCTCCTCAGGCCAACCTGTCTGATGGAGCAAATAGGATCTTGCCTCATCCCCTTGTGCATGTGGAGTGGTTTTGTGGAGCAGTAAATGCGGATACCCCATGGCACACTACCGGAGTTCATCCGTTCCACGCGATGCGCGCCCATGCGTCCCAGCAGGGAGCAGAGCGGCCCCTTCCGCGGCCCCGCGCACGGAGGGCAGCGCAGCGCAGCCCGGCATCACGGCGCGCAGCCCGGCGCTCCTGTGCGCCCCGCGAGAAGCCGTTAAGAACTGAAGCCCTCAGAAAAAGGTCCCTTAGGCAAAAGCCTTCTGCAACAAATGGCGGTTGCCGCCGAGACCTTGCATAGCGACCGGTATCATCAGTTTTTTTCTTTCTTTTTTTTTTTTTTCTTTTTTTTTTTTTTTTTTTGCTGACTGGTTACATCTTGATGGAGTGCTTGCACACTGCAGGTGCTGACAATACCACGAAGAAGATGGTTGGATTTATCCTGGAAGCTGAACAAGAACTCCTGGTGCCCCGTCATCTTGGTCTGCGCCCCAAATGTCTGAGATGAGGAGCAGCACCGTGTGATGGGAGGCGGCGGTGCAGGAACCCGGCTGGGGGGCAGCCAAGGGAGCCCCGCAGTGGGACTGCAGCCTGGGGTGCCTCTCTTTCCTTTGTTTCTTACAAACCCCGCCTGTGAGACATTGCACGAGGCGTGCAACGGAACAAAGCAAGCTGAGAGCACAAAGCAGCGCACGCCTGTCTGCAGTGAGCTGCCGTCCCTCCTTCCTGCCGGCTCGGGGCAGTGCTGGTGAGCAGTGCTGGAGCTCACAGCCGTACAGCCGAGATGGGGTGACGGTGAGACAGTGCTACAACAAAACATTGCACGTTTCCAAAGATGAGAAAATTGTTCCAGGAGACGGAGCGTGAGGGTGGAGAGCATGGGAGGCCGCTGCCGTGCAGTGATCCATGAGTCCCACGCAGGACTGCAGGCAGCGGCTCTCACTGCTGCTTTTCCATCTTGGTTGGTTGGGTTTGGGTTGTTTTGTTTTTGCAGGGTCCTTCCTTCCGGTCAGATGTTTGCAGAGATAAGGAAGGAGCTGTATGCCATCAGGTGACAGTTGCTGGGTCCCCTTCCCAGTCGCTCCGATGCTATTTCACCTCCCGGTCCTTGAGGCTCAGAGGCAGAATGTGAGCGTGAGAAGTGGAGTCCATCAGCAGCAGCTGTTATGCCTCAATGATGTTCACTGAGGGTTTGTTTTTTGGGAACTGGGAGAGAGGAGACAAAGGAAGAGAAGGTGTATAGAAATAGCTGGGGAGGAAAAAAATACCCACGTTGGGTCCGTGCAGTGTGTGTGAGTTCTTACTGTGTAAAAGTGCTCGCTCCCATCCCCTGTTGGATGTGAAGGTGTTGGCTTGACTTGTGGTGGTCTGCTTGTAGATGTGTGTGCATTAATGAGCCATCTCCAGTTATAAGGAAATGCAGTGCAGTGGGTGCTGGTGTCTGCAGTGTGGGGGATGCTCAGGCTGCTAATGGTGCTGCAGCGTTGGCATGCATGGAAGCGAAGGGGCCTTGCCTTCCTGCATCCCGGCTGGTGGTGGGGAGCTGCTGGGAGCTCCTGCCTGCTGCCCTCCGGCACTCACCTTGCTGCGGAGCAGCCCCCCGCCCTGGTGCTCAGGGGTGCTGTTCTCCGAGGCGCTCTTGGCTTTCTCCTTGCTGTTGTTGGGCTCGTTGTCTTTGATGATGTCGTACTGCCTGCAGAACAGGGCGATCACCCCTGGTGGGGAGAAAGCATTAATGAGCACCCAGGAGCTGAGTCTGCAGAGCTCTGTGCCTCCTGGTGGAGATCACAGCATCATCCATGCTTGCTCCTTTCTAACAGAGCTCCTCAGCCCTCCAGCTGCTTCCTACACAAGTTCCTTGCTAAGGTGGTTACAAGGAGAGAAGCTTAAGGCAAGTGGGACGAGTGCTTTAAACCTATGTTAGCGTGGCGATAGCGCTGCCTGTGTGGTTGGGTGGGATCTTTGCTTTGCAAGCACAGGAGCTCCTGGAATTTCTGGTTGGTGGGAATGTTCCTTATGGCCCTTTCCTCTGGGAGGATGTGGAGCTGGCGGATGCAGGGCAGGCACCCAGCCTGCCTGTGTGCAGTGTCAGCCTGGGGCTGCAGCGCAGCAGGGCAGCATCTGTGGCTACGTAACAGAAATGGCAGCAGAAACTGCCAGTGGAAATTTCCTCCCACACGCACAATGAGCACAGGAAGAGGAAAGCAGGGGCAGCCATGACGAGGTGGGAAAGGCTGCAAAATCCCAGTTTTCCCCCTGACTTTGCTTCAAAAGTGTAATTCCTGTCTGAAGGGAATGGTGGTGGTAGTGGGTCCTTCACTGAGGTGCTGGTCTGAGTGTCAGGCTGTGCTACAATGGAGATGAATCGGTTCTTCTGTCACTTTGTGTGATTAGTTGTGATCGTTTTTACTGGCAGGGCTCTTAAATTGGGATGTGCAGAGATAAAAGTTGACTTAAATGCCAAAAAGACTCTGGGCTGGAGGATTTTTGTAACCTCAATTTAGGCCTAATTTGGTGATCATCTCTAGCAATAATTGCCCTCCAGTCCCTGCAAATGTGAACAGCCATGCATGATCAACTCAGGACTTTTCCAGTTGTCTCTTATGGGTCACAGATTTGCCCCTGTGCTCATTTCCCAGCCTGGTGGTTCCCTTGGGTTGCCTGGGCCGCCCCCTGCACCCCCAGGCGCTCTGTAAGCGTGGAGCTGCTCTGCCTTGAGAATGTTTGGCACTGGGAGGCAGCAGCAGCTGAGTGGTGGCCTGGGGAGGCTGCAGCTCGAAATAGAAAACAAACATGCAAACTGTTTTTTCCCCATCAACTCATGCGTGTGATTTCCAAATGGAAGGAGCCGAAGGGCTGGTGATGCACAGCGCCAATGGGGTCGGGGCGTTTTCCTCTCCCTTCCTGCTGCCTTAAAGCATAGGAGTGAGGTCTGTCCTGAGCACAGTCTGCTATGTATTGGTATCTATTGAAATGTGATCCCAAACCCTCGTTGGAGAACCGTTTTCTGTGGAAATGCCATATCTCTGTACTTGCTACAAAAAGCCGTAGTGAGAGATCCTCATATTGGAGGAGTGCATCTGTTTGGTGCTCTGCTCCAAAGCACCTTCTGGGCACTGCTTTCAGTGCTACTTTTCAGCTCACCCTCCTTCCCCTCCATCCCAACCTTGCACAGACTTTTCCTTCCTTTTGGTTTATGTGTTTCTGCTAATGTTCTCCTATTTCCTGTTAAATGCTGCTCTGTATGTTTAGTACAGAATTTGGAGAGGGTCTGGGCTTATCAGTGTTTGGATGTTGGGAGCCATTTGTTCTTTACACACTTCCTTTGTTACAGTTGCTTTTGCAGTCAGTTTTAGTGTAAATATAATAGTTGGCATTGAGGGGGGACTCCTGGCGTCTGGTGTGTCTGAACTTTGGCAGAACTCGTCAGGGAATTTCTGTTTTGCACGAGAGTTGAGGTCATAATAAGGCAGATAATTGTGGCCTGCGCTGTCTGAAGGGCTCCAGGTGTCCTGGTGAGGGCTGATGGCCTTAGCATCAGTGCTTCCTGGAAAAATGGAGCTTGCAGGATTAGCCGTGCTGAATTAGACAACTGGTTCATCAAGTCTGCGTGGTGCTGTGCCAGCCCAGAGCACCGATTCACCTGATTTCAGCTCCTGGTGTGCAGGGGGGCACACACACAGGGCAGGGAACGACGAGCTCGGACAGAGAGAAGGAACTGACCTGCCCACATAAACAACACCACCACAATGATGAGTATTTCCCCTGCGCGCAGCTGTTGGTTTTTCTTCGCCATTTCCTTCATTGTCACCTCATCTGCACGGAGGGAAAAAGAGATGATGAAGCGCCAGACTTTGGCTCAGCCGTGGCCCTGGCTCAGCGCCCCAGGAGCGCCGCCGCTGCCCCGCGCTCAGCCCTGCTGGCAGGAGATGGGGAGAGGGAGGAGAAGTGAATGGGGACGGGCTGACCGCGCTGCCTGGCGCTGTGGCGGCTCGCTCTGCTCTCTGCTGGAGCCGTCTGTGCCTGTCACAACGCCTTGCATGCTTCGGCAGTTCTGTCTCAGCTCGGCACAAGGAGCCAGGCGCGGTATTTCTCAGCGGAGCTGTGGGGCTTGGGGATGCACTGAGACTTTTTGCAGGGCGTAATGCACCTCCTCGCCTTCAAAGCACTGAGAGGATTACAGCTTAGGCCTCCAGGGAGGGGAGCAGTGCTCCTCTTAGTGCTTTCAGATGAACGGTAATTCTGTGTTTACAGACACCAAACCATTTTGGCAGAAAGAGTCAAGAACTCGCGGCATCCCAGGAACCGTGGCCCACAGCCCTGCAGCAGGCTGAGCCCTGGGTTAGCAGTAACCCCTGTAGTCCCAATCCCTGTGCTCCCCACCCTGTCTGCAGCAGAGATTCTTCCTGTGAGCAAACTTTCCCCATCTGGTTTGGCTTAAGGGAAATGAGGGAAGGAGCTGCTGGGCAGAAATCACCCAATCTCATCCATGGAGGTACTCAAAACCCAACTGGATGTGGTCCTAGACCTCCAGCTCTGGTTCAGCCTCTTTCAGCAGAGGTTGGACCAGGTGATCTCAGATGGTCCCATCCAACCTCAGCAGTTCTGTGATTTGGCATCAACTTTTGAAATATAAGAAAATCGGCATTCCCGACTTGTAAGAATGCAGGGCACTCTGTTCCCAGGCTGGAAACCTCCTTGCTTTGCCCATTAAATCTGAAATAGAGGAGTGGACAGCCAGCCTTTGGCAGTAGTGGCTGCTGACCTCTTGGTGCTATTTTGCTGACGCAAAGGAACCTCATCTTCATCTTAGATGCGTGCAGTCGCTTTCAGTGCTGGGGTGTGAAGTGCATCAGGATGCTCAAGCAGGAGTTTGTTTATGCTGGGCTCAGCCCTGACAGCAGCACAACCTCAGCGTCTCATTGACTGCTGGGAATGCTCAGAGCTTCCCACGTGTCTGTGCAGGGCTGTCAGAGGGCCTCAACCCTGTGTGCAACTAACCCAGCTGTCCTCAGTGCACAGCGTCCGTCCTTCCTCCCTCAGAGCCCTGCGCTGACTGGGGGCCACGTGGAACTCACCCACACTTGCCTTTATTTTTAGAAGCCAGTTTCTCAGCTTCCCTGGGGGTCTTGAAGAGGACTGGCTCACTGGCAGGGCTCTGGCCTTGGATGCTGATGGCCTGGACATGCACAATGTACTCAGTGTCCTCCTCTAGGTCCCAGAGGGCACAGGAGCGGGTGGTGGTGTTCACCTCCTGGATGAAGCGCAGCATCCGCACGTCCTTCTTCTGGAAGCCGAGAGAGGAGAGCACAGAGTGGCGGAGGGACCTCGTGTGTGCACTGCTGGTGTCTGAAACCACTGCTTCCTGCCCTGTCCACCATGGGCACGGAGACCTCTGCAGCGAGCGGCACAGCGAGCGCTGCTGCAAGGAGGATGGGAAGCGAGTTCCCCTCCGAGACCATGGGACAGGACGAGAAGGAATGGCTCACACTGCGATGAGAGAGTTTGGAAACTGAGGGGACCTGGGGGAAAATGAATGTGGCCGAAACTGGGGAACAATAGGCATCGTACCTGCTGGGAAATGGCAAATCCGATGACAACTTCGTCCTCCAGAACGTCCCAAGTCACTACGGCTGAGTTGGCTTTCAGGTGTTTGACTGTGACATTGACCGGAGCTGACGGGCTGTCTGCAAGGAGGGACACAGAGCTGCAGCAGGAGATGGAGTGAGGGCAAGGAGCGGGGAGGGATTGGGGGAGCAGAAGGAAACGTGAGGTCTGGCCGTGGTCTGAGGCATGAGAAACTGAGCTGCAAATGGCCTTCCTGCCAGCAGCTCTGAGCGTGGGACCTGGAAATGGCAGATCTATGTCTTAATTACCAGCAAGGCTCTGGAGCTCTCTGCTGAGGGTGAGTGGCGTTGGGCACATGGAATATCTGCACACACACCCCCCAAAACAATCTGAGGATGTCTGAGCATTGATGAGCTCACACACCTCCTGTCTCTCAGCCGCGTGCCGTGTTTTCTCTGCTGCGTCCCATTACAGTCTGACAGCGACAGCTGGGAGGAAATGCAGAATCTGTCTGGGAGGCATGAAAGCAGAATGAGAGCTCTGGAGGGTGGAAATTCAGAGGTAGTAAATAGGGGCGTTCTTTTTGCTTGTCCTCGTGAGCTTGTCAGAATTTTTTTGTACACGTTTTTGTATTTTGCACACAGCTGATGGGCTCTCTCAGATGGTCGGAGGATTTTCCCCACCTTCCCCTCCATCCACTCACTGCTGCCAGAACAGCACACACTGCAGCAGCCCCTGATGGACTGCTGTGATGTGGAAGGGCCAGGCCATGAACCAAAGGTGGTAAATGCCGCCCGGATTGCTCACAGTGCCAGGAGGTCGGTATGGTGAGAATGGGCCACGTTTCCTTGCATCAAAGAGTAACACTTCTCTTTTTAACCATTGCAGGGTGCTGCCCTTCTGAGGTTGAGGTCAACCCATCAGAAGGAGACGTGTGCACATCTCCAGTGACACTTGTTGGGTTTATAGTCAGCCCTGGATGCCTGAATGTGGCTGAAAATGCTCCGGCCGGAGCCTCAGTGCCAACTGACAGCTGGCCTCGCTCCTGGTGAGCGTTCCCTTGGGAAGGGAGAGAACAAGGGAGTGCAGGACACCTCAGTGAAGGTCAGCACTGCTCTCTCAGCAGAGCAGTGGTGATATACTGCTGCCTTCTATCCACAAACTGCACCTGGTGCACCCACTGTGCAATGGGACCCCAAGGGTCACCCCGACGCCGCTCCCCTCCCAAGGCGGCTCCTCGCCATCCCCATCCCCACGTGCTGACCAGAGGACCATCTAATTTTAGCAGTCAGCAGACGGAATGCACAGGGAAGGGCTGTGAGTCATGGCTGATGAATGTGCTGGAACACACAGGGGGCGCGGTGGGGCTGGAAGGTGACAGACAAAGCAGTGGGGCTGCAGCCGGGCACCTCGCCCCGCTCCCAGCGCAGCTGTGCTGCTAAATCCCAGCAGGGTCGCCTTGCTGAGGTATTTTTAGGAGGAGTCGCCCAGTGTGGGTTGAGGAAGGCTTTGGAGAGTGAGGAATTAACTTTGTGGGGAGCAGGGAGCAGAAAAAGCTGCTCGTGGGGAAAAGGGAACGCGGTGCAGCGCTGCGTCCCCACTGAGATGTGTGACCTTCAGGGGGAGGGGGGCACAGCACAAAAAATGCCGAAGTTTCTGTCGTGCTGACACAGAGCGTGGGGGAGCTGGGAGTGCGAAGCAAGGTGAAAGAGGAGCCTTGGGGAGGTGGGAAGCAGTTGGCAGAACTGCAGCCGATGCCTGGAGCCTGCGGAGCAGAACGGAGCGCGGGCAGCAGCTACAGCTGGGAGACAACAGCAATATCCAGATCTGAGCGTCTCTCCTTCACTACTACAGAGCAGCAGCGGCTACACATAAATCAGAGGTGCCAAATCAGTACGGCAGTGATGTGAGAAGAGAATGCAGCACAGCGTTTGTCGGAAGTACAAAGCCAGGAAGATGAGTTCCCCACTCCCAGAGCTGAATGAAGAATTGGCGACCAAAATCCCAATCCGTGAGGACGCTCTGCTCCCGCTCCCAGGAGGTCTGTGATGAGATCACGGCTTCCCCAAATCTGCTCAGTGCTCTGAGATGCTCTGCTGGTGAGGCTCCAGCTGCGCCCATGGAGCTGAGCGCTGCGGTTTCTGTTTCCCCGCTGGATCAGGGGCTCAGTGCCTCCCGCAGGGCCGTGGGCTGCCGGATCCAAAGGTTCCTTTGTGCCTGGCTGTGACTCCTGGGAGCTGCTGCTGTGTAGGGGCAGTGGGGTGGGCAGCCCTAAGGGCGATTCCTGGCAGCATGGAGCACGCTGTGCATCAAACCTTCCTCCTGTGTGTTTACTGAGTGCCCCTTCCCTGCCTGCTCCATACAGAACTCATGGTGCAAGATTTCTGGTTAGCAGTGCGGCTCCACCATGGCTCGGGGCCTGCAGCGCCTTCTGGAGCAAATCATGTATTGCCAAAAGTCAGAGCTTGGCCCATTTGGAGCTGGAGCTGCGTGCTTGGCTGAGGCGATGCTCTCAGTTTCATGTCAGCATCCCCCTGTTGTGATGGGGCCATGACTGAATGAAAATGAGGTGGGTTTTGGTGAGGAATGGCTGCTCCACAACCAATAGTGCTTTGCCTCTGCCTTGTTTCTCGTCCACAAGGAACCTCTGTGAGGCCCTTTCAGCAGGTGTGGGTTGGGACCATCTCTGTGCAGTGAGGAGCTGTGAGAGGCAAAGATTACCCTTAATCCTTTCTTAGTGCTGGGAATTCCTTCTGGCCTCTCATTAAACGCTCTGCTGATTGTTAATGGACTTTCATTTGGGAGAGAGGGGAAAAAAATCTAACGCAACTACTTCAGAGCTTTGGGTTGATTCCTCCCTCACTTTTTGCTGTTGGTGCAACACGAGGAACAGCAAACCAGCCAGCTGTGCAGGAGCACCTGCCCTCGTGGTGACTGCTGCAGAGCTGCGTGGGACACGTCTGTCCCCATCCCGCCGCTGCCACATCTGCTGCTTGTGAGCTTGGAAGTGCCTGGAGTCAAAAGCTTCCAAGGTGGGCAGTGCTAAGGCGATGACACGATGTATGTTGGTTCACTGAGCCCCCCTTCCCCATGCAGCTCCTGTTGTGCACAGGGGGTCGCATCGGCCATCGGAGCATCCGACCCCGGCAGCTCTGTGCTCCTGCACTGCGGCCTCTCCTGCACACAGAGGGATGGAGGGGGGCAACCTGCGAGGAGAAGAAGCATCGCTACGGTCTGGTGTGATGCTCTGCAAAGCATCGCTGCCTGCCCATGGGGTGTGAGCACAAAGCCCTGCTGTTACTGCATTCGGAGCCGCTCTCTGCTCTCCCAGCATGGCTCCCTTCACTGGATGTAATGGCTTGTCAGCTTTATGGGGTATGTAGGCAGGCTGGCGCGCCGTTCAGCTTCCCTGAGTGCTTTAATGAGAAGAGCCTGGGGGGCAGTGGGAGGGAGTGGGGCACGGTGCAGCTCTGTGCCCAGTGAGCGGGGCTGTGTGGGTGCACTGCAGCCTTGGAGAACACAAAGAGCAGCCCCTGGTGCCTCCCTTTGGGACAAAGGGAATTATTTCCTGCTGCTCGTCCACTCCTGCAGGCAGCACGTTAGCAGGCAGCTCCAGCTCTGTGCCTGGTGGTGACGCTCGCTATGCTCGGCCTCGGGTGTTGTTCTGGGTGGGAGGAATGGGGCACATCAGCCTCGTGGCCATCGCTGCCCTGGTGAATGTTGGTGCTGCCCAACCTCTGTCTGTATCCCAACTCAGTGCTGGGTTGTTGTGGTGTTTTATCTGGGAACCAAACATCCCGGCAGCGTTGATGCCATCAGAGCAGTGCTGGCCGGGGGGTGGCTGAGCACCCCAGGCTTTGTACCCAGAGCTCTGGCTGCTCCCACGCCCAACGCCTGGGTTTTTGCTGCATGCATAAAGATCTGCGTGTTTCGCTGCTCCATGCATTTATGCTTTTAACTGAATTATGCTTGAGTCAGATCTTAATTTGGCCTCTGGGTGCTTTATAAGACAGGAGGGGTTTATTAAACAATCGATGCCAAATGAGGCCACACACAGCACCAGCACATGGGCACAGCCCCATGAAGGTCTGAGTCCTGCCGTGGTGCTGTGCACGGTGTGTGTGCGAGCAAAGTGCCCTGCAGGAGCCCTCTCTGTCCTCCCTCAGCATGTTCCCAGCAGGAGACAGCACTCAGAACAAGACAGCACAGCACCATCACTGCTGGGAATCTGACAATGGGGTCAGAAACCTCCACACCGCAATTAAATCTCTCCTACACTGAAAGCAGAAATCAATACGGTGCTTACGCCACTCGTCAGCTGGCCAGGAATCTCTGTGGCCCTCAGAAGCTGGGAAGGGGCTGCAAAGAAGTGCTGGAACTGCTGCTGTGCAGAGCTGCTGTGTGGGTCCTGCACGTGGTCTGGCCGCGCCGTGGGCTCTGGGCTGGAGCTGCGCTGGGGCTGAAGCCTCTCCTGGTCTGGTTGGTCGCACCTTTCCCTCCACTCCACAGCTCTGCCTTTTGCCAGCCCCACAGTGCCAGAAGGGGAATTTACACCATTTCCTATGGGTCATCGCAGGGATGGCAGCTTTTGGCCTTAACGGTGCATTCTTTGACAGCTGCCTTTGGGAGCTCTGGGTGCAAGGGGGGGAGAGCTGAACCCCGCTGGGGCTGGGTGCCCCTCTGTGAGTCTCCCTGATGCTTCTCTGCTCAACAGCCTCATGGCCACGTGCTCAGGTGGTGCTGCGGCCACGGAGCCGATGGGGACACTGCCACCACCTCTGTGTGACCTTGGGATGACCACACCATGCCCACGTCCCTTTTGTCCCTACCTGTACCCTCAGCTCCCGGCCCATACAGAGCTGGGAGGAGCAGCCCCAAGGTCACGCAGCTTCACACACCTGGAACCTTTGGGGTCACATCCCCACTGCACAGCACAGTCACCAGCAGGGCTGCGCTGCCCAAAACCTCACAGGGACCCAATGGCCACAGCCACTGCTGGGGAGATGCAGGCAGAGGCTGCGATGGGCAGAGACACAGCACTGTGTTTACTCTCCATCACTGCTGAGGTGATTCAAGGATAAGGAAGAGCAGGGGAAGTGTCCCAGTTTGCAGGAAATCAGGAAGGCCAATTGCAGATGCGCTCTTTTCTCCATCATTCTCTCCTTTTAGGAATGTTTTGTTCATCTTCCCGTCTTTTCCTTCAGCACGCTGACGTCTGGCCAAGGATGTGTGTGCCAAACCCAGCAGCGTCCCGAGGGGATCCTGCAGCTTCAGTGTGGGTGGGCTGTGGGTGGCTGTAACCCCACAGCTAACAGAGCCACAGAGCACAGGAATTTCCACTCCCTGGAGCCGTGCGTGCTGACAGTTACCCACAGCCTCCGGGAATGCGAGCTATCCGGGCGTTCTGCAAATCAAAGCAGCTGCTCCATCAGACCCCGCAGCCTCCGTGCCGAGCAGACAGAGCCGGCAGGGCCGGGGCCGAGGGCTCACAGGCAGCTCCCAGCAGCGCTGCTGAGACGTGGCACCTGCTGGGCACTGAGGCGAAGGTACAGCTTGGCTGGAGCAGGACCCGAGTGTCTCCTGCTTGTGTCAAAAACAGGACAAACCCCCGGGGAGCTCCATCCTCCCCGGAGGTCCCCTTGGAGGAGCCGATCGCCTGGAAGCGTCACGAGGCCGGGACGCTCCGTGCCCCACAGGACAGCTCACAGGAGCTCTCCGCTGCCGACACGCGTGGGCACCGCGCCGCCGCTCCGCTCCGCTCCGTGAGCCGCAGCCGCAGGGCCGCTCCGCACCCGGTAACCGGCGGTGTCCCGGCGCCCGACTCCCCCCACGACCGCGCTTCCCCCGCCGCTCCCCGGGTCCCGGCGGCCGTTACCTGCCTCCACCGGACGCAGACCGGCGTAGCTGAAGCAAAGCAGGAGCGCGGCGCCGGTGCAGCCCAGGAAGGGCTCCATCCCCCGCGGCCGCCGC